CCTCCAAGATGTTTCACACTTGGAGGGTCTTCCCTAACGATGTACTCCATACCGTACCCCACACATTCACAAACTCGTGGACTCATCATTTCACTTGTCATAGTTACTCATATATCATGTCTCATTGACACATATCATCATATTTCATATCTCATATTCATTTTTCACATTGTCTCATCATATTCACATAATCTCCACAGAGCACTCTAATTCATATCAAAACATATCAAAACTCAAAATTAAACATATATTCATGCTCAGTAATCATCAAGGAACACAACAAAAAACTCATAAGGCAAAATAGAAAACATTCAAATTTTGTTTGTTTCTCATAGAAATTATTAATAGAAAACAGAATTCATTGTAAACATTTGAAAGTTGAAGAATTATTAATAGAAATTATACACAAATTACCTTTGAATAATAATTTCTTTGATTTTTTTTCGTAAGAAATTTTCCTTTAGAAATTCTTGTAAAAAAATTCGGAAGAAATTTCACAGGAAACTTTCTTGCGAATTTTTTTCGCAGGAAAATTTCTTGCAAATTTTAAAATTTGCAAAAACATATTATCCACAAAAGTATTACCTAAAGATAAAATTTTACAGAAAAATTTATAGGAACAACGTTTCTTGCAAATTTTTATACAAAATTCATGTAATAAGATAAGTTCTAGTATATATATATATATATATTTTTTATTTTCCTGGGTTATACACGCTGTCTAGTATTTGAAATGAAAAATAGGGAATTGAACCAGGCAGCGTAAACCAAAGCAAGTAAAAGTCCAAATTAAAGAAAAGTGCACGTAAGGATGGTCACCGAATGAACGAGCCACAAGACAACAACATCCAGAAAGTAGGAGTAGGAGCTAAAAAGTTGGATAAACGTATCACTATGCATTTTATTAATTAAATCACGAGGATATGCTTGATTTGCTCTGAAATTTAACCAAAACTCTGAAGTATAAAAGAAAAAGAGCAAAGTGATGAATGATAGATGCACGCCATGTGTATTTGATAATTATAATAATTATAATAATAATAATAATAATAGTAATAATAATAATAATCGTATAATATATATTATTATTATTATTGTGGATATCATATTGCCATCTACGTGGCTGTAGCACAGTTGTGAGTGCTGCTGCGTGGACATGGCGATGCATGTCACTGTATCAGTATGTATGAACTATAGTTTTGATATGCCTCCAAATCATGTGTGTGTGTATAATTAATTATTTGTTAGTTAAGCTAGTGGCTTATGATTCATCTTAATAGTATTATTAAAAAAAATTTGGGGTTTCTATGTAAAGTCAACTTCACCATGGGCCCAAAATAAGATTTTGATATTTTAGGTGCACACCCTGTTTGTATAGAGAGAAATTACTAGAAGTTGGCAAAAGGTTGGCACTTGTGGACTAAAAAGGAATTGGAAGGAACTTGATTGGTAAATTCACAAGTATGGGAAATTAAAAAGACGTAAACATAACATTACAAATAATGGAAGAAAGGACACAGATATTTTACCGTTGGCCATCTTGGGTTTGCATGATGTACGTGAATTTTTATTTTTTTAAATATTACACTTTTTTGTAATTATTAAAATTTTATTTTAATAGATATTACTCAATTAACTTTAGAAACGAAAATTTTCTAATAAACAAATAAAGACTTGAATCAAATTGAGTATTATTAGACTTTAACTAACTATTAAAATAAAATTTTAATAATTATATTTGATTAAAGATTTTCAACATATCATTATTTTTTACTCGATAGTTTATGAATAAAAAAATAATATTTTCCTATCACCCTGTTAAAATGAAGCTATTTTATTCCTCTAGCAACTAGAGTTTCATCTTTTATCTCTTTTTGATCCCTATCACATGTTAAACTAAAATTTAATTAGGTGAATCTTGAGGGAAAAAAGTTAGCCATATATAATATATCAAAAGGAGAATGATTTATTAAACAAATGATAAGATAGGAATAGCCTCCAGACTTTGGCTTCCTTCTTGATCGAGACAAATCAACTATGTCATAAGATCTTTATATGAATTCATATAGAAGTTGTTATTTTCTGGTGAATTTTCATCCATTATTTCTAGTGATTCTTTGCATAAAAATCTCAGTTTGTATTATTTTCCTTGTATAGCCATGTGACAAATAAGCATGCTAGTACATATCAACGTCACTGTGGATTTTGTGCTTCACAAATAACACAAACAATACGCGTTAACAATGTTTCATTTATTTGGGTTTGGAACATATTCTATGTTCTCAATAGATATCACACTTTGTGGGGGAAAAAACTGTGTGTGCTGTTGCCGATCGATGGAGCTCAACGAATATGCATAATTAAGTGATGCATTCCCCATGCTCCAGATTAATACACAATCAATGGTGTAGATCAAAAACTCCATATTGTATCAAATGCCAAATTCAATCACATTAATAGTTTCCCTTAAATATCATTTTCTTTTCAAAATATGTCATATCATATATTTATAATTAAATTACACAGCGTGTTACGATTGAAATCACTTATTTATTTACTTTAGAGAGAGATATTATGGCTTAGGATTTGATAATAAAAAAAAGTCATTGTATCAAATACCCAATTAAACTATATTATGTTTTAAGTAAAAATGGAATTATTTAAACATTATAAACATTTTAATTAAATAATAATATCAAATGTTTACACACTAACGGAATAAATTAGTTTTTAATCAGGGTGAGGAATAGAAGATAAAAAAAATGAGGAGAGATGATTTAAGTATAAATTAATTAAAATTATAACTTTTAAGCTTAACCTAATCTTCTAGACAAAATTTGTTTTGATTATGGAAACAATGTAAAATTAATGCCTATGCTAGGTAGTTAAGATTTATCCATCCATTAATTCCCCTAGTAATGGGCCCCACCTGCTCTGTACAGCATAAAAGTAGCACCGTGTGTTACTGTGCTATCATTCTAAACAAAAGTTGAACCATAGTGTGTACTTAGCAATAAAGGGTTTAGGTGTTTATACCAAATTTTGGATTAAAAATTCTTTTTCAACGCTGTAAGAAAATAAAAAATTTAACTAATATTTTTTTTCAAGTTTTTAAGAATTTGATTTTTAATTTTCTTTAAAAAAAACTTTAAACTACTAAAATTAAGTCTTATTTGTTAAAAGATGATGTAGTTAATAAGTGAAGACTAACTTAACTTTTAATATGTACATAACTTTTTAATGAATATCAAATTATATAATATGTATAATTTTTATTTATTTATTTATCATCTTAAGAATAAATTATTTTTATATTATTTTAAGAGTAAGTTGTTTTAATATTGTCTATTATTTACTTAATAAAAAAACTAAACATGTTATATGATTAAACATGTTAGTCATGACTTATTAACATACAACATCACTTAATAAAAGAAATTTAATTCCAAAAACTAATTTATTTGACATAAAATTAATGAAAAATTAAAAACTGAAAAAATATTTAATACAAACTTAAAAATCAAATTGATAAAAACTTGAGGAGTAAAAACCTAATCCAATAAAAAAAAAAAGTGTTGTAAATTTAACACTGTAGCTATCTGCAGCAGAAACAACCAATTGGTGATGATATTTTGTGTGGACTGTGGTGCCAGCTACGACATGGGCTATCTAAGTCATTAGAATAATATTCTTCTTGCCTATAACAGCATCATCACAAATGCAGAACCAAACACGCACGAAGCATCAGAAACCCTTTGCTGTGGTCTATTTAATTTCCAGTCTGTTAAGACATAGCAAATGAGAGGGTACATTGATAAGACTAACAAAAAAGGGATCTAGGATCACACATATCCTTAATATTATTTTCTTCTAACTGGCTTGCGTTGAATATTAAGAGGGTATATGTTGAACCAGAATGATCTCCACCTTAATTTGTGGTTACAATATTTTTTTCTTTCATAATCTTGAGGCATCACCATCACCATCCAAGATAACCCCACTTTTCTGAGCAGTGAACTGGAATAGTGTTCAGCAACTGAGTTGGTTAACTGCGAATCATTCAAATCCTTTCGGTCAGATGAGTTTTATATTCCATATACTAGAAATTGTTCCTTGTGAGGTTCAAAGAATTCTTGGTGATGCGTGAATGAGAATAATAAAATCTTCATTATTATGTTATTATACAATCTGATTTTTATTTCCTTTTCTATTGGACGTTCCCATTGGCTTGGTTTAGCTAATAGCTACACTTGGGTGCATCTCATACACATAATAATGGTAACATAATAGGATGCCACACCCCATTGACATGGAAAATGAAAAAAAAAAAAAAAAACTACTTTCCTAATATTTCAGAGAGGAAAATGAAAAAAATTGTTTATTTTCTAAACAAAGTAAATTCTGAAGCAGTAATCCACAAAGAGCTTAATCTGTGGCATGTCAAATAAATTCCCATATCTCTCTAGAAAATGGAAGCCACGTCATCTAGAGCATAGCACTTCATTAAGTAATGTTTTTTTAACACATTATTGGTATTATTAATGCTTTACTAGCAGAAAAGCAGAAGGCACTTATCAAATCATGTCCATAAAAACAAATAAGGAACATAGCCAACATATTCTAGATGACTTCAAATTTTAAATGACACGCAGAAAAATTGTCAAAAACGGATGGTGCAAATCTAAGTGCCATCTACCACTGCCATATGAGTTAATACCAAAAATATGTGCTTCCTTACTATACCGTAATATTAGCTCTTAAGAAAACAAAAGGGAATTTATATTAGACCTAGTATTGAGCAAGTTGAGAGAAAAGCTTATGAATTTACAAAATTTTGCATCCACAAGTTTATTATAGACGCAGACAGCACTTGCTCTCTCTCTTTCTCTTTTTGTTTTTCATTTTTTCTCCATATTCTGTTTTCATATTCTTATTTTACCGTAATATTTTAACTGCCACTTGGCGTTGAATAGTACCTCAAAGCCTTATATAAAGAGCACCCTCAAGGGTCTCTTCAGTGGAACACATAACTCCATCTCATTTCTTAAGAGTGAAAAGAAAAAAGAAAAAAAGGAAAAAAAAAACTAAACATGGCAGAGTCTCTCCGTATGACTATAGCTGTTCTTGGTACTCATTTGTTGATTCATTCATTCCTTGGCTTCTTAGCATTATTGAGCATTAGTGAGTCTTGAAGAAAAAACTGACCCTTTTGAATGTTTCTTGCAGGGAATGTTGCTGCAGTGTCTCTTTATGCTGCACCAACGTATGTTACAATATTCCACCACTCCATAGTTGCTTTCATCTTCTCCTTTTTAGTGATCATGAAGCATTGGCCTTTTTCCCATGATTTACTATTTGCAGGGTTACCTTCAAAAGGGTCATAAGGAAGAAAAGCACAGAGGAGTTTTCATGCATTCCTTACATCGTAGCACTCATGAACTGTCTCCTTTTCACTTGGTATGGATTGCCAGTTGTAAGCAACAAGTGGGAAAATTTCCCTCTGGTCACAGTTAATGGAGCTGGCATTCTTTTTGAACTATCTTATGTTCTCATTTATTTCTGGTTTTCTTCACCCAAAGGAAAGGTAAGTTGTATACATAGTCTAACACCCTCTTTTAACACCATCTTCTTCTCCTCATGCATAAAAATCTTACTATAAATTTTTCACCATGTTTTAAATTAAAATCAAAAGATTTCAGAACCCAAATACGTGCATGGAAGATTTCATATTATTGTATTTCTGTCACCTCACTCTAAACCAAAAATCTTGTACCATCAAAATACAAGAGAATTGGAAATTAGGTGAAGGGAAACACATGTTTGATTTTGTGGAGGAACAATATTTATGTGTTTTGTATCACATGTAAGAACAAATAAAAAAAAAACACCAAGCATGTTTCTCATAACTATATGGTTTCTGAAAGACATGAAATTTTGCAGGTGAAGGTGGCCATGACAGCAATACCAGTTCTTATAGTGTTCTGTGTCATTGCTATATTATCATCTTTTGCCTTCCACGATCATCGTCACCGAAAGCTTCTCGTAGGGGGTGTAGGCTTGGGGGTCTCAATAGCAATGTATTCATCTCCTTTGGTTGCAATGGTGAGCCATCTTCGTCTTCCACGCATCTTTTCCTTTTAATAATATATTCCTTTCACTTACAAACGCAAAACCAAAACAGGGGAACAGAGTAGTTCCATCAAATAATCCAAGTTAAAAAAAAAAAAAAAAAAAAAAACACTTTTCCACTGTCATATTTTTGTGGTTTCACTTGGAATAAATTGGTTTCTTGTGTATGTCACATTAACTTGATTAATTCAATTTTATCACCATCAACTTTTCCACACTTAAACATAATACAAACTTAATTAACTTGTTGATATGCAAACAAATTTTAGGTGAACCACATTTAACTCAAAAAAGAACATGATAGAAGAACCAATCCATTCTAAAACGACACTTGTAGAAATTAAAGTGAAAGAGATCCGAAAAACATTTTAGTAGCCTTGAAAAAAAAAAAAAAAAAACCCTCCACATGTTTCTTCACTGGTGTTTTATTTTTGTCATTTACATGATTTAATTTTGACCATATTGCAGAAGAAAGTGATACAAACCAAGAGTGTGGAATTCATGCCACTACCTTTATCTTTGTGCTCATTCTTGGCCAGTTCACTGTGGCTAACTTATGGACTCCTCATTCGGGATATATTCGTTGCGGTTTGTACCATAACTAATCTTTGATTAATCCTCAATCATATGCTAAATTTCACAAATCTTAGAAAAATGTGGTTCACTAGAGCAATGTTGTGCTAATTAATTCTCCATTTGTGATAGGGACCAAGTGTTATTGGAACTCCATTAGGCATACTCCAACTCGTTCTCCACTGCAAATACAGGACGAGGAGAGAAACTGAAGAGAACAACAAGGTGGACCCGCACAAGGGTAACATAGAGAAGGTGGACTTGGAAATGGGACATGGAAAAGAATGTGTCAGTTCTTAGTAACTGCAACTCGTGATCCATGACAACCTCGGTTCAATGATTTCAACCGGTTCTTTTCGGATTCCGGTTTTTATGTTTAGAAAAACAAAAACAAAAAAATATAAGGTTATTTAGTTGGTCATCTCAGCTAATGTATTCACCGCATAAATTTAAGTCATAGTTGCCTAGCGCATGTCCCGTTACATGCTTTCTTTTTCGTGTGAACTGGTTTGTGCCACCTAGTTATGTTTGAGAATTTAATAGCGTAGACTTCGATTTCACAGAGCCATCTCTATATAAAATTTTAATGAGGCGATTTATGATTAATGGAACGTGATTTATGTTAGTAGAGGCTTTACTTTACTAAGCACGACTGAGGAGTGTTAGAGCACCTCTAATGGGAGGTACTTGTTGTGTATCTTAAAAATAAGCAATAGTACTTATAAGAAATTCTCATTGGAGTCATCTTACGTGGCAAGTTAAGTTCTAAATTTTTTAGCTCTGTTGCTTCCAAGCAACAGTGTTTAGCAATCTGAAAATTGAAATGGAGATGTATGATTGGTTGATTTGTTCCAAGGTGAAATATGGACAAAGAATTTGAAAAAAGTGTAATGTGAGGTGTCAAAAAGTGTAGTATGAGTTATAAAAAAGTAAGAGTGTTTATAAGCAATTTCCATTAGAACAAAAATTGTAAAAATATAATATGAGTTGCTTATGAGTGACGTGACATAATAGAACTCATTTAAAGTGGTTAGGAGTTGTTTATAAACAACTCTTATTATAGATGTACTTATAAATTATTTGGAAATATCACGTGTAAATAAGTCGGATTCGGTGGAATTTTTTTACCCAAACAAATGATATATAACAGAATTGGACTCGATTAGTTAAATGGGTCGATTTATTAATTATAAACTCTTTATAAGTATTAATTATAAAAGAAAAGTACTAGTTTTAGAGTATATATAT